TATATATATATATATATGCATGTGTGTGGTTTTGAATGTTTCAGGAAAAGTTCCAATTTCTTTCAGCTGCTTTTCCGCTAAGATTTATATTTAGATATATGTTTATATATATACATATATATATATGCACGTACACGTGTGCACATATGTATACACATGTATATATATATACGTATATATGTGTATATACATACATATAGATATGTGTACGTATAAATGCATATATACATATTTTATATATATGTATATGTATGCATATATATATTAGTGTACACAGTAGTAGCATTAACAAAGTTACCAGAAAAAAAAAAAAAAAGATAAAACAAGAGTCTGAACTCGTCGAAGAAAAATGTATTTCATGTTCGGCACTCCGATGAGTGTATTCTCTTTTCATCTCGAATTGCAGAAGCATTAAATTTAGTAATGCACCTTTCGTTTCCTTTTCCTTTTCGCTTTCGGCTGCTGGAGTGCCAATAGGGGTATCACTGTAAAGCATTTTCTGCAACGCCTTTCTTTCCCGTTCCTCTTGTTCAAACTCTAATTTCTTCTTATCAAAAATGAACGATTTTCCTGAAATACCGGGACTTATTCGGTATTTATTTAAAAGATGTCGTAAAATAACAGGCTGAGGGATCTGAATCCCTTTTTGCACTTCGCTTCCCGCGAAGATTCAAACATGACTCATGCAACAACAGCAATTTTCCAGCAGCAATCAATCGCTGGCAAGATTGTCCGCTACCACTGATTTAAAATCTGTTTAGTTGATGGCAGTTTCAATTCCCTGGAATGTATCAATATTAATTTACCACTGAAACCGTTATAGAGGGGGGGAGGGGGGAAGGAGGGGGTCGGCCAACTTACAGAGGAAGCTGAATCGCCGATCTACAAAATGTAAGTAGCGCTTTCTGCCACTGCACCATGCCTGACAGCGCTGGTGAAGATTTTTTGAAAAGCTACCTCTGTTGGCATCTAAGATGCTTTCAAGTCTTGTCGCCAGTTCCTCATTGTCTGAATCTTCTCCACTGCTTCCTTCATCGGTGCTCAAAATATCTGGGTTGGAAAGTGTCCTAAAATTATTTGTTGAAATCCGTACTAATTTTAATGAAAAAACAGCTGTTAAAAAGAAGAGGGAATATTATAATCGATAAACGTACTGATTCTGCAAATCAAATGTTCGCTGACAAAACTTCTTGTATTTGTCCTGCATATCCGCAAAATTGAAACGAATATTACCACGCGCAAATCGTGCCATGCCTGCAACAAAACTCTCTCCAGCACTTTCTTGAAATCGTCACCTCTCATCGAACTTGATTTCATCATTTTAGTGAAACATATGAACCGAAATACCACGTGCCAAGGTCAAATACACTCTTCTTACTTCACTGTCCCCAGTCGACAAGCTCTCTAGGCGTGGCAGCGATGAGGTGATGTTCAACACACGCAAGCTATGTAAAGTGCTTCTGCCCGGAAATCCTTTTAGGAGACAAAACGAATATCTCTATCGATATCAGGCTGGCTAAGGCAGAGCAGCACTGATAAGTTACTAGCCCCACAGTTGGAGAGCAATAACAGCTATCTATACGTTTGAAGCACACTGAAAAAAGTGTCAGAAACATGCAAAAACATGATAAAAAAAGTAGCAGATGTAAGAATACCGGAAAAATCGGAGCGAGCTTTTGCTGCCTGGGTCGACAGAGTCCGAATAACATCGATAATCTCCCACCGACTTAGTGAATTGATCTAAAAGTTACAATATCTCATGGCTTAACCAACAGCTCTTCCACAGATGCCCACTGCAGAGAGCAATCCTACTCATAGAAAATACCTCTTCCTCCCGAATTTTATTCACAGAAAATACCTCTTTCTTCACAGAAACAGATAAAAATACCTCTTCCTCCCGAACTCCATAGTCTCGACAGATTTCTTTCGCCTCCTTCAGTGGCAGCTTTCGAAGATCCGCATTCGTTCCAGTAACAAGCCTTTTAGGAACATTTGTTACTTCTTCCTGAGAAAGTTTCAATGCATTACGGAAATATGAATCGCCAGTGCCCATTTTTGGATTCTCTTATTTAAAATTAGGGTTTGAGTTGAGGAATAAATTTTCATTACGACCGCCTGGACCATCACTGCAAAGTCTGTATGTCAGGCCTTTCGCTCTGGGAGACGCTTTTCATCCTTCTTAAACATTACTATATGTGCGTGAATTACATTTCAACCTCTGCTTTCCCACTTTCTACACTTTTGAACATTAGCTGCTTGCTGAATAAAAGTAAAAGGATTATAGGACAGAGAAATAAAACTTACTTTAGTTTTCTGCGGTTTTGCACTGACACGAACGTATGAGAAGCCTTCGCCACAGCCTGTCGGATCGGCGATACCCGTTTGATCCAGCAAGCATTTACCTCTCGTGGCCGAGATAAAAGCACGTGTAGTATTCCACGGCGCACATTTGATCTAGTATTAGATAATACATACATTGCAAAACCCAATGTCATGTTTGAGAGAAATACGCGTCTGCTTCTTGCATTTTTGCCATTCTTTTTCCTCTTTCCTCTCCCGGTTCACATCTGATCATGGATAAAAAAAGCGCAAGATATCAAAATTTGAGGCTACGAAGTAAAATGAGAGGTCAGTCGCTTGGAGGCATAAATTATTCATTGTGAAATAAGCTAAATCCATCACACCTCATCTTCGATTGTAACTTGATCATCTGAGTCATCTTCATTTTCCGGTGTAAAAAAATATTTTTCTCCATAACCTGCATCCTGTAAAACATATACGGGTATTGGCACACGTTCAATTTCTACCTGAATGTTTACGAACATGCTGCACTGGCAGTCATACCGGACCAGCAGTTTGACTTGGCCGCTTGGACAGTCAATCCCTCTATTAGTCTCAACAATAAATTCTACTCGGACTCACAACCTCCATCAGCCCGCTTTCTGGAAAGCCTAAAAATAAACCGCCACCGATAATCCTATCAAATAATGGCTGCTGCTGCTGCTGACATTTGTTATCATCGAGTTATTTCCTATGTATCTCTCTGCTTTTCGACAGAGTGAGCACGGAGAGGACTTTGAATTACTTGTAAGCAAAAGCTATGCCGCCCTTGCCAATGCTTTTTTCATTTAGTGGGAATTTTGTCACAGAAAGTTTTTTCACACACAATTTCATTTTTACATATACGTACAATGTTTATATTTCATTCATGGGGGGCTGGGGAGGGAAAGACAATTTGACAGGAATCATAAAAGAAGCAAAAAAAGCTGACCTTTAGTCGCTGTTCAGCAGCTAGCATACTATACTGAGCGCAACACATTTCCGGAGTAACCATTGCTAAGACCTCTTCTCGGCTCGGCAGCCGGAAATCATTTCGTAAAACCTTAAAAATATGTGTACTGCAACAAAATTTATACTCTAAGAAAAACTTTTCCACATCTATCACCAACTAATACATGACGTCAAACGACTTCAGCAAGATTTTATTTTGTTCAGCTCTCTTCACCAGATTTCATTTTCACACATAGACGCTACACATGCTGCTCATCGATAGCTACTAAAACTCGGCTCGGTTTCGTCACCCAATACGCACTCATTATGCGTTTTTTTGCAGCTATGCAATGCAGAAAACGCACACTGACGAGGGGTTGTCTGTGTCTGTGTGTCCATGTGTGCATCTGTCACGCTTTTTCATCTCAAGACCTACAAAAGCCACAGGGCTGAAACTTTGGGAACTTAATCTATATGCACGTACGATCTCAATCCCCAAAATGGGCGCCATTACCCGCGTAAGAGCCCGCCAAAGTTTTTTACGGGTAAGCTGCTAACTCTGGAACCAGAAGTGATTGGGGGCTGAAATTTTAAGTGGATGTTCCTCGTCAAGTATGTATTAATTAGCTCAAACTAGCCACCCGCGTACGAGCCCGCCAAAGTTTTTTCCGGGCAAGTTCATAACTCGGGGTTCTGAGAAGTTAGAATGCTGGAATTTTAGGGTAATGTTCCCAGTCCACGTACGTATTAATGAGCTCACACCCAGACCCCGGGTAAGCGTAGTAACTACGTACGGGCCCGTGAAAGTTTCTTCTGGGTAAGTTGCTAATTCGGGAAAGTGAGAAGCTAGAAGACTGGCATTTTGAAGGGATGTTTTCTGACAGTCCTGGCGGCCAGTCTGAAATTCTTTTAGCTAGAAGCATCT